CCCCAAAACCCCAAAACCCCAAAACCCCAAAACCCCAAAACCCCAAATTCTAAAAATAATTTTGAAATTAATATAATAAGAAATAAAATAAAATGAGTGAGCAACACAGCAACGCTCCTGAAAGCTTCAATGCTGCGGGCAAGGTCAAGATTAACGAGAACTTTGAATCCTTCATGGATGAAGGAGCCGCTAGTAAATCTGGAGGTAATTTCTACTTCCAAGGACCTGGCCCAGCCCAAAATCCCTTTACAATCCCACCAGATGAGAAAATATTCACGTTCAAGGAGGAAGAAAAGCAGCGGAGGCTCAAGGAACGGGAAAAGAATCGGAAAACTAAGATTTGGAATAAGAACAGACCTGCCAGAGAAGGATGTCTCAAAAAGCTCTGAGAGACAGATATCAAAATGAGCACCATCGAAGTTGCTATGGCCATAGATGAAGGATTCACTATCCCAGTAGAGCGTCCCAGGAACAAAGAAAATCGGTGGAAACTTATTGAAAAGAAGCGAGAAATGGACCTTATTCATGAAATGATCCAGACCAAAAGAATCGAAACAAGCAAGATAGAATACCTTGAGAAGAAGAGGCAAGAAGCCCTTGAAGAATCAGAGAAATTCCTGTCCCAAGACATCAAGAATTTCGTAGATTTCTTCAAAAAGAACACTTCTCAGAGCAAAGAAGCTATGCAAGAGGCTGAAAACAAGAAGAACATTAGGATGGGGATGCATAAGGAATTCCTAGAGAAAAAGGACGCATACCAAAAACTTGTGTCTAACATTAACAAAAATGCTGAACTTCTGGAGGAGTATAACAAGTACAAGGTCTTCTTGGACAATGTGAAATCAGCCAACACTGGCAACCAAGAAGCTAATAATAAGGAAGAGAAAAAGCAGGACAAGAAGAAATCAACTGAACAAAAAGAAGATAATCTGCTTAAAAGTTTGAATATTAAGAAAGAAATTATCGATCTGATCGAAGATGACACTTTTAAATACGAAATAGCCTTTGAGAATCCTGATGATCTGATCGAGAACTTCACAACCCTTGAGGAGAAGAACCTCTTCCTGATCCAACAAACTCAGGAAGCTGAGCAAGCTTACGAGGAGAAGAACCACTTGTTCCAAAGAAGCAAGAAGAGGTATGAAAATGAGATTAAGGCACTGGGTGGTGGTCTCACTGAAGTCAATGAAAGAATCGGCAAAATTAATGGTGAGATTGAAAAGGATCAAGAAATTGATAGTCGTAAAAAGATACCTGAAGAACTCGAATATAGAATTCGTGAGAAGGTCAAAGAGATCTACTCTAGTATCTTCAAAGGGCAAGGAAAACATGTAGAATCCAACAACTCTACATTATACTTACTCTCAGAGATAGAAAAATAAATGCAATAATCTTCTCAAAGAAGACAAAGAGTGGTTAGAAAAAGAACCTATGATCCATCATGAGATCGGAAAAGACATCAACAAGGATATAAAGAATTCTAACATACAGAAAAACAAAGAAATTCAGAACAGGGCCAATATTTTGAAGAGAAAGAACGATAGTAGTGACAAAAGAGATTTCTACATTTACAAGCCTCTTATGAAAAGAAGCAAGCGCGAGTCTATCAAAAAGAAAGTTGACAATGAGAACAAACTGAGTGAGGAAGACCTGGATAAGATATACTTCCTCGGTCTCTACTAAGCTCCAACCCTCAGCTATGCCATTAAAATTTCAATACAAATCTCTCTCAAAGGGGTTTTGGGGTTTTGGGGTTTTGGGGTTTTGGGGTTTTGGGG